AATATATTATATTAATTATATATATTATATTAGATATATTGTAATAAAATAATTTCCTATTTCTAACATAATTTGTATGAACAAAGGCTTACGAAGAAAAACTGATAAAAGCTCTGATAATTCTTCAATTTAATTTCTATCTATAATAGTTTCTATATCTTATCTCTCTCTCTCGATATTTTGTATTAATTCCTTGTTGACCTTATCAAGTGTAATAGAAGAAAACAAAAAATACTTTGAAAAATACTAGGAAACTTAGAATATATGAATGATAACGATGACTAAAAGCTAAAGCAAAGATAAGAAATATGTAATACATTCTGATCGTGTTTTAAGTATTATTATACATACTTACGCAATCATATAAATAATGATAAGCCGGTATGACGCACGGATATACGTTTAATGACGTTACTTACGCAGAAATATGATCTATCTATCTTTCAACAAATATGAAGTACACGTATACAGGTAGATAATACATTGAAATTGAATCTTGTATTACATGTATGTATATATATACATATATATATATATGCAATAATGGAGAATTCATGGTTTGGAATGCTTGGGCATAGGGAAAGGGCGGAAATCAATCGGAAATGTATAATACGTAACAATATGCGGTCGTACCGCATTACCGCATGCGAAACATATCTCCCTATACAGAAACTAAATAATAATACCCATATCTTAAAACTTTCTACGAGTTTCTGCGAATATAACGACGATTCATTTGATTTCTTTGTCATCGTTTTACATCATAATTATTATTATTATTATTATTATGATTATTATCAAAAGACGACGAATCCCACACACACGATTTCACAAAGTATAATCGTACAATCGTAGAAGAACCTAGATGAGAAAGTTAAAAGTCTCTTTTATGCCGCAATAATCTAAAAAAGAAAAAAAAAAAGGAGTCGAGATTAATTACCTGTACACACACACACACACACACACATATCTTTTTGATTATGGTAATATTATATTATATTCAATTAGTTGTTTCTCTCGTCTCCAAAAATGAAATTATTAATAAATAAGTATCGTAGGGAATTTGGATGTTCAAAAGAACTAGAACTTAGTTTTGATTAATTACATTTTGATTAATACATTATTTATATTAATATATTATTATTTTTCTCCAAGAAGTATTTTCTTTCTTTCTTTTTTTTTACTTTCCCAAACTTCTCACCCAATCCCAACTCACACCATTTAGTTTTCTAGTTTAAGTAATACAATTAATACAATTAATCAAAACGAAGTTCTAGTTCTTTTTAATGTCCAAATTCCCTACAATACCTATTTATTAATTATATTATATCTTACATCCTAAATATATATATTAGTTTCTTCTTCTTCTTCTTCTGTGAGCATATTTTATGGGTGGGTGATAATTGAATGATGTAACAGAAACAGGTAAGATCCAATTGATCGATGTTTTACAGATCCGGTGGCTCTTCCAGCTCGTCCAGTGCTGGAACGGGATCATCCAACGGTGCAGGTCCTGGAAATCCTGTGGGAGGCGGTAGAATGGCCGTCATCGGTGTTACCAGGAACGTCAGATTGAGACGTCGTGGTGCAGCCGGTTTCGGTTTTTCATTACGCGGTGGTAGAGAATATGCAGCTGGATTTTTCATAAGTAACGTTCAACCTGGTGGAGAAGCTCATAGAAATGGATTAAGGGTCGGTTCAATTCTTCAATTGGATACTGTTTTCATTTTTATTTTTATTTTTATTTGTTTACCTACCTAGTAAACTTTTTAAATCCATGAAAAATATGACACGTTCATATTTCCTTTTAGGTGGGTGATCAAATTCTCAGGGTAAATGGATATCCTGTTGAAGATGCCGTACACCAGGAGGTTGCCCTGTTGGTGAAGAATCAACAAGTTCTCGTACTGAAAATTCGAAGTAATTATATTATTATTATTATTTTATTAATAACATTTCTAGTGTGAATTTTTTCAAATTGCTTATATTATATATATAATATATAA